ACTGGATGGACTTTTGTCTTTTTTTTTTTCAGCCAGACTAACTATATAACTATTTACTTCAGTCAATTCTGTGACATGTACTCACTATGTCCTGTGCGTTGGTACTGCTGTGTCACACATTTCACAGAGCCTGCCTTCTGAACTACAGACGTGATGAGAGGAGGAGTTTCAGGAAGCGGAGTCAGCACAGGAATCACAGTTGGAGGCAGCAAAGTACCATGAGGATATGTACTCCTTAGAATTAGAAAGTAAATAGCAGTGGAGAAGCTGCAAAGCATGCAGGAAATCCAGGAAGTTGTGGAAAGAAATGGCTAGCAGACAGGCAGCAATCATGACATTAGTAGATTTTTCAAGTAAGCTTACAATGGATTGTCAAAAATAACTATTGTTTGTATTGCTATTATAATGCTAATGTTCTAAATGAAAGTGTATGCTGTGAGCACTGATATCCTTTAATGGACATGCTGGTCCAGAGCACCATGCACCGTTCCAGGTCGGTTTGCCCAGCTATGGCCCCAAAAATGCAGCAGGTGCTGGTTTAGCTTGCAACTGCAAAACTTCAGAGGAACAAGGATGGATGTCCATACACCAGTGCCAAATCAACCCAGACTTATATATTGTAGCAATAAAAAATCCCAATATCACAGCAACACAAGGAAAGGAAGGATGGTAACGTGTTTTACACCAAAAGTTTTGATTAAGCGTTTTTTGGAGTGACATGCCTTAACATCCTCTTTCCTTCTGATTCTGTGATCTTTTATTGGTACAATAAAGAAGTTGGAATTTATTTGGCACCAAAGTTTGGTCATTCATTCTTGTTCCTTGTACATGCTGGTACGGGGAAGTCAGCCATCTGTTCCCACTGCAGAACAGACGGCTGTCAAACAGTCTGATAAATCCAGAATATATATGTATTTAGTTCTCTTGTTTGTCTGCTACAGGATTTAAAATAATTTCCGGAGTTTGACTGAGTTTGATTGTAGACAGGAAGATAGCTGGCACCACGGTAAATCACGGAAGGATATCAGCTTTATTAAGACAGCGGTGTATACAGCAAAAATGTCAATGCATTTCAGCCAGAATCAGCCTTACTTATGACCAACACAGCTCACCCAGAGGCTGTTTAAATAGACTGCATCTAACACGTGTTTTCAGACTTCAGGTGAGCTGATTGGGAGTCAAGTGTTTCATAAAAGAAACAATCCTTATAAAGATAAATGAAATTACAATACAAAAAGCTAGACATGTACAAAAATAGAGAATTAAATCAATTACAATGTAACAAACCTCAGCAAATGTACTATACTCTCATTCCCTAATAAAGAAAAAGAGCAATATAAAATCACCGGAGCTGATCCAAAATCCGATAGGAGGGGCAAAAAATGGAGACACAGAAAAACAAAAAATGTGGCTAACCAGAAAGGTTCAAATAGGTACATGCAGTATAGTGTTAGGATTATTTGAGATCCACATCCCACCTGTGGATCAAACCACAAGTAGGCCCCGCCCATACAGGGGCAAAGCTGCTCTGTCCTGAGTACTCTAGGAGCATCAACTCCCTTGCTAACTACAGGACACTGTCACCCATGTCTTGTACCACTCTACCGCTGGCTGACTGCAATAGCATTCCCATCAGTCCTGGATACCTATAGCAACTGCATGTAGGACAAGACTTCCAGCCAACTCCTCTGTATGGTTAAGGTGGCTCTCTGATTTCTCCTCTTCATCCGCTTGTGCGTTACAGGTCCCATTCTTTGGATACACCATATACCTTAATGCACCCCTTTGCATGTGCCTCAAGACCAAGCACTTTAACAGTTAAACTGAAACTTTACTGAAGTCTTTAAACAAGTACAGTTCAGTTGAACACCATCTTGCCAAGAACTCCATACATAGTCCTAACACTACCTAGCTCAAATTGCCCATGTCATACCATCTAAGAAAGCAGAGTTCATTCAGCATAAGCCTATTGCTGGTAGGGTCCTTTCCAGGTGAATCCCAAAAGGGTGACTCAATTAGGGTCGCTACATGCTCGAGTAGGATTACATGGCGCAGCAGTCCTCCCCCTTCATTCTTATTAGGGTGCTCCAGAACTGAAGCCAGCCAACCAACAAAGACCTAGGCTAGTTCCCTCCCCTTGTATTCATGGGCTCACAGCAAGGGGTAGGACCATGAACACTTGGGAAAAGGAGATAATCCCCTTAACCTCTTCCTACCTCTGGACAGCCTGTCCATTCACTACATACTGTACATACAGTATACAACAGTACAAATAACACAGGAACACAAAATACAAACAGAGCTAAAAACATTCACATATACCCTCTAGGCACCTGTAAACACCAACCCCCTGATCTCTACTCACAGGCTGTGATTGGCTGCAACAAGAGCCCATGGCGCCTACTGCTGCCTTCAAGTAGGAGAAAAAGAGAGGAGAGAGCCACTGCACTTCGGCACAGCATTGGATCAAGTTCAGGCTCAGTTAAGTATTTAGGAAGACGGGGGGGGGGGGAGCTGAACACAGAAGGTTTTAATACAGAAAATGCCTTCTGCCTTTACAACCAGTTTACTTAACTATTCATAACACTCACCAGATGTCACCTATACCTTTTGATGTTATAATTTGTCAAGAAATTGTGCTGTCATACTGGACCCTCCCAATTTTTGCTACAGTCATAATTTTCCTTTCCGTTCTTTATCTGTGCCCCACCTTCTAATATTTTCCTCCTTTTTAATGAAATCTCACCTCTCCATTACATAAGAGACATGTTGCTTATTTTTCCATTTGCAACCCAGCCGATATGTACCAGACCACTGTCTATTGCTTTGCTAGGAATCATATGTGTAAGATTATTGTTCTGTAGAATACAGGTAGCTAATAGCTTTGCACTGATGAGGGCTATCATGATTACACTGGTTATTTTAATTTATTGAACACTCTTGGTTCTTATTCAACTCGGCAATAGAATTTGGGAAGGCTGTGGCAGTGCGGTATCCTGCCACAGTGAAAATGAAGGTTATAACCCAGGATTCTCAACCATACAGGTTGAGGGGCTCCAGGCAGTTCTCTTAATGCAGAGGAAACTGGTTTATCAGTTTCCTCTTTGGTTTGTAAAGCCCGTTTTGGGACCTGTGGCCTGGAGATTTCTAAGTGATTTGGGAGGGATGAAATCTCCAATCCTGGGTCCAGTGTCCTGGGAAAGCAGCCAGGACACTGCACAGGTGTGTGCAGGCCTTTGTAGAGACCAAACCATGATTCTGGGCTCCACCCCGGCAGGCAGGAGGTCAATGCCTTGGAGTCAGGTGGGCTTCACCTAGGAGAGGAGGAAGCCAGAGTAGCTGTGTGCTAGTGGCTAGCTCTGTGCAAAACAACCATTTTGGAAAGAGTCTGCAGGCGACAGATGTAAATCTGTGTACAAGCCAGAAGGCTGAATATTTGTTGCATTTGTTTGATGGCGGATACCTCTGCGTGGGAAGCATGTTATTGAACTTTTGTTTAAATAAAATTGGGCTAAAAGGCCTTTAAAAAAAAAGAAGATGTATGCTTTAAAAAAAACTCTACCATTTTGATGTGAGTTCCCACAAGGCTTAAAGTGATATTGAAGGTATTTTAATTTTTTTTAATAACGTGTCTATACTTACCTACTCTGTGCAGTGGTTTTGCACAGAGCAGCCTTGATCCTCCTCTTCTTTGGTCCCCCGCCAGTGATCCTGGCCCCTCCCTCCTGCCAAGTGCCCCCAGAGCAAGCAGCTCGCTATGGGGGCACCCAAGCGCGCTTGCTCCCAAGCCGCTGCTCTGTGTGTCCATTCACACACAGAGCCGTAGTTTGGCCATGTCCCTCTCTCTCCTCATTGGCTCACTGGCCTTCAGCTACTGTTTCAGCCAGTGAGGAGGGACAGTTCCCGGAGAGCCGAGGCTCTCATGCACATTGCTGGATCATGATGGGGCTCAGGTAAATATTAGGGGAGCCAGGGGGCTGCTGCACACAGAAGGTTTTTTTTTACCTTCATGCATAGAATGCATGAAGGTAAAGAAGCATGAGCCTTTACAGCCACTTTAACTGTTATACCAAAGGATTCACTTGGTACTGGGTCACAGAAATCTCCTCTGAACCCTAATGGTGAAAGTAAGTTTGAAAAACCTCTAATCCAGGGTTTCTCAATCAGGGTTCCGTGAACTGTGGGGTTCCTTCAGAGGTTGCTAGTAGTTCCTTGAATATTAAGTGATTTCTGCTTCTCAGATAAACACAATTATCTTTTTAACCATCTGTAAGTCTAGGTTCACACCTATGCAGGTTTCATTTGATCTGTTTCTGCGGTGCGTTTTTGCACTTGCGTTTTTGCGGCGTTTTTTTTTTTTTCCTTGTTGATAGGCAGATTTTATATGCAAAATGCGACAAAAACACAATACATGCTTTTTCCATTGAAGTCTCTAGAACCAAAAACGCAATATTGCTTTCAAAAAAGTCCCTGACCCTTTCCAAAAAATGCAACGGGTGAAAACTCGGAGATGTGAACGTGTCCCATAGGAAATCATGTTAAATGGACTGTGCTGCATTTCTGCAAAACGCTGCAGAAAACGCTTAGGTGTGAACCTAGGGTAAGTGGGGGATTTTTTTCCCAATGACCAAAAATGTAAGGAGTACCTTCCCAGCGACCATCACACTAGTACTGTGAGCTGTAGCCAAAATGTTATTTCAAGGGTTCCTCTATGTTAAATGGGTTGAGAAAGGCTCCTCTAATCAGATATGACAGTTCTGGCGTACAATGATTTAGCAAATTGTAAGCATGAAAGCTCCTCTAGTTGACAAATACCCCTTGATTATGTTTATATCGATGCAAAACTAAATTAAAGGCAAAACTTTATCTTCTCATTTTAGAGAGAGTAACAGCAGGTTTTTTCTTTTAATTATACGTTAACCACTTCCTGTCCAGCCCATGTATATAGACGGACGGGAGCATTGCAGGAGCAGGTGGCCGTTTACAAACATCCTCCCCACCTGTGCTTGCTCCCTGGGAATGATCACAGAGGTCACATGGTACAAGGCTAATCAAAACAGCCTTGTACTATGTGACAAGCTGTTGACCAATCACAGCTCGCACAGTATTTCTCAATGGCTGCAAGAATGCAGCCAGAGAGAAAGAGAAATGATTGCTTTTGTAGCCTTTATGGGTGTAAAAGCAATCAGTGTAAAAAAAAAAAAATCTTCATTACCCCCCACAAGTAGTACAGTGTCACTATGGTGACACTGTACTGCTTGGGTGACAGTATGCTGAAAAAAAAACAAAACCTAAATAATAAATAAAATTCAATTAAAATATAAAAAAAAATGTTTAAAAATTATAATTTTTGGTTATAAACTAATTTTAATTTGGGTTTTTTTTTTTACTAAAAAGATAGCTGAATACATTTTGGCCAAGATTTATGAAGAAAGATTATTTATTTTCAAAATTTTATAAGAAAAAACACTTTTCTTTTCAAAATGTTTGGACTTTTTCATTTATATAGCAAAAAAATAAAAAAATCCCAGTGGTGAATATGTGAGATGGGGAAACAGCTTTCATTGTTTGAACACTGAGTAAATTAAAAACGTTCTGACTGACATTCTGCAGTTTAGCCACAAGATGTCACTGTTTTTCTAACACAGCTTCAGAATGCATAGAGATTTCTATATTCATGAAGGGGTGGGGTTTTACACTTGAGTGAACAGGAAAAGGAGAGGAGAGCAGCCATGCTTGAGAGAGAGAAGGGGGGGCTGTATGATCTCACAATCCGATGCCATCCAGATGTGAGGACAGCCCTCCGTAATCAGAAATTCAGTTGAGTGAAGCTGATGGTGTTCAAGACGCTAACCCTGTTCAAAGAAAGGAAGATTGCGGCCAGGAAGCTGATGGGAAGCTGAGGAACTAAGCAATATATATACTGTGATATTGCATGCCTAGTGTAGAGAAATTTGTTCTGTTCAGAGTCTCCAGCGGACGCAAAGCAGACCCGGGTCGGTAAGATCGTGCACGCACCTCATTTCAGTGTTGGCGCCTATAGGATTGAGATAGGCCTATAGTTAGTTAGGGTCTCTGTGTCAGGTCACAAGTGTTGTTACTGATCATTGGAAGGACTCCACAACTTAATGACATTTCACATTGGAGAGCTGATAAAATCCCACAAACTCAAGCCAGACTGGCGTTTTGCTCAGAAGGAATACTCAGGCACGTGCTACAGGACCAGTTAAGGGAGGGGGAATACTGTAGATTTGTGTAAGATTGTAAGCTGTTGTGCTGCACCGCAGGTTAGCCCATACCGTACACCCATACACTGATTCCTGCTCTTTTAGGGTAATAACAGGTAAGGTGTGGCAGCTTATTTGTGCCGCCAGTAGGTAAATTACTTTACTTTCTACCTTCATCCATCAGAAGGCGCCGTGCTGTGCAGCACAAGGGTCTCAGCCTTTGGGCTGGGTGTATGTAAATTTATTGTATGTTTCCAGCATTTGTGGTTGTGTTTATTTGCCACATCTAAGTAAAATTCTGTTGTGACAAAAGCTGGTGTTGGGGTTGCCTTTCCTCGTTCGTGACTTCACTGTATCCTGGGGAGCCCACCCCAGTACACGGCTTACAACTAAATACCACCAAAATAAAGTTTGATCTGTCTCAAAACAATTCATATGGGTAGTGTTGCATGACGCAATTGTCATTCAAAGTGTGGTAGCGCTGAAAATTGGCCAGGACAGGAAAGGGGTGAAAGTGCCCGAACTTGAAGTGGGCAAAAAAAAAAAAAAATTTCCCTTGCTGCAAGGGTTAACTTTTAACTTCTCATTTTTGTTTAGGGGAGAAATGAAGGGAGATATACTTGCCTGATCCTCCTATCCTCCCGTCACAAGACCGGTCCATGCAGCTCCTGTGCCACTATGCTCTAGCTATCTTGGGCGTGGGCTCCATAGACCGACTCTGGATGTGAGGATGCCTTGAACAATCCACTGCTGGATCATGGAGGAGTGCCTTGTGGTGGCGGTGCCTCTCCTCTTCAAAACAAGCACTTAACCCCTGCAAACGGGCAGAGCCCCACTGCAAGGAAAAAAACTTTTTTTGCTGGGAGTTGGGCTTTAAAGCCTAGTTCACACTTGCAGTTGGGGGTGGAAAAAAACAGGCAGTTGAGCTGAAGTTTTACCACCCTCTTAAGGTACAAAGGAAAGCGGACAGGATTGTACTCGTGCCGTGTCTGTGATACTTTGCTTCGCAACTATGGCAAGAATGATACCTTCTGTAGCACTTGGCAGGCTGTACTGCTACCAAACATGACCCATCCTTGTGTATGGAGCTGACCACAATCGCAGGCTTTACAGGGTTAAAGGATAAGTTCACCTTTTGTAACATGTTACAAGTTACACCAATGTTCAGGATGTAACATGTTACGATCAGACCGTCACCCCGCTCCTCCCCAATCCCCACTAGTGGGGGATCTTCTTCCCCCCTCGCTGGCTGTCAATTTAAAAAAAAAAAAAAAAAAAAAAAACGGGGGGGGGGGGGGGGGGGGCGATCGTGAGCAGCAGCCAGGATGGCTGCCTATTAATTTACTGTCTCGGCCGCCGGACACATTCGGCCGATTTCTGACCCTCAGGGGGGGTCCCTCCGCTTCCTCCCTGGCTCCCAGTCCTTCCAGCACCCTGATGGGGAAAAAAACCCTGGCCGCCCGCACCTCCAGCGCCCGGCGGACCGTTCGGGAGGTTGCGGCCTACCCCCCGGAGATTGCGGGTGAAGCCGCGGCCTCGATTTTGGGCCGGCCGCCGGAGGCTTCCAGGACCCCGGCCGCGGACTCGCGGTTTCTGCCCGGGACAACAGCTGAATCCCTGGCTGCAAGTTTGGGTCCCCTGCCATCACTACCTGCAGGTGAGATGGATCCTGGCAGTGGGGAGGACCTGGATTCCGAGCCATCCTGGCAGTCGCACATTCCATCCCTGCGGGATGCTGAGCTCCTGCGCCGCTTTAAATGTATGCTGCAATCAGAATTGTCCTCCGCTACCTCCAAGCTGGCCGACCGTCTTTCGCGGGAAATTCGGGGTTTGGGCAATCGGACGAATGGTCTCGAGGATAAAATGGATGCTGCGGCCACGGTCATTGAAAATCACGAACAGGACCTGTGCGACCTTAAGAAGGAATTGGCGGACGCACTACTGCGGCTTGAGGATTTCGAAAACCGTTCCCGCTGTGGCAATTTGCGGTTAAGGGGTATTCCGGAAACGGTCACGGATCTTACCTCCACTGCTACTTCTCTGTTTCAGGAGCTGACACCCGCTGTTCCCATTGACCGGCTCGAATTTTACCGCATACATCGTTCTTTGGGCCCCAGACGAACCGGATGGGCCCCCGAGGGACATTATCATCAAGTTTACTTATTACCGCACTAAGGAAACTATCCTCTTGGCGGCCAGAAATAACCCTGATCTTAGCTTCCAGGGGCACCGCTACCAGCTTTTCGCGGACCTCTCTCAGACCACTCTCCAGAAGCGATGCCAGTTGAAGTCCTTCACTTCGGTCCTGGTGAAACACAGAATTAAATATGCCTGGGGCTTTCCGTTCCACCTCACCTTCACCTACCAGGGCCGCAGTCATTCTGTGGCTACGACGGAGGAGGCCCATTCTCTCTTTGGAATCTTTACATCTTCTCTCGCCGGAAGCTGCTGATCGGAGCCTGGCTCATTCATCTGGATCCTCGGCAAGGCCGCCTCCTCTGGGCCGCATCTGGGAGCGGTCGTCCAACAGGAGGGGGGCTCTCCCTCAGACCCCTTCGCGATCAAGTCCTTCCTGTTCTTCTCCAGGCTGAAGATGCGCCTTGGAACTCCCACATATCGTCTCACCGAGGGACTACCCTGACGAGATCGTGAGTTTGGCCCTTAGGGCCTCCCTGGTTTGTCGACATTCTAGGTTGAGACTGCTCTGGCTTGCCCTTTTGGGTTTCATCCCGGGTTGGGGGGGGTCTCTTCCTGGACTTAGGAATCGGGACTTTTTGCTGCCGCAGCCTATTCTGGGTCCATATAATGGTAATTGGGTCTACGTTGGTGGCATTGGGTGATGGTTTCCTTGGGCTCCGGGGTGGGAGGTTGACCCGGTGGGCTTGGTTGGGTGGAGGGGGGTTGGCACCTATGGTTCTCCGGGTTTCTATGGGGAGGTTATCGCGGAGGTTCCTGCTCCTGGGACTTTTAGTTTATTAAGATTTACTATATTCTATTATGTTCATTGCCTTTTTGCCCCCTGAGGGCTTCTGTTTTGATGTTTCCATTTGCAGCCATGTGTCCGGTGGTAGAGTTACCCCTAACTGTATCCTTCATGTGTAGGATGCACGTCACCATTGGTGTGACACGATTGCACTGTTGTGTATACTTTTTGTGTCTTTTTCCTTTTTTCTTTCTTTGTTCTTCTCTTTTTCTGTTTTTTTTGTTTTTGTTTTCTGCAGGGTTCCGGGTTGCCATGGTCCGATCGCCATTGGGAGTGGAAATTGCTGGCTGCTTTGGCTTTTTTTCTGCTGAGCGTGTTTCATTGATACCGCCATGGCCTCACCCCTTTTGAAAATACATTCCCAAAATGTTCAAGGCTTAAATTTGCCTCAGAAACGGGCTAAAGTTTTTCATCACCTCAAGTCGCAACAAATTGATGTGGTATGTCTACAGGAGACCAGGTTTTTCTCAGTCCTCCGCTCCGCGTTCTCTTTCACCTCACTATCCCATCTTTTACACGGCCTCGGCTCCTGAGAAGCGTCGGGGTGTTCTGATAGCTTTTAAACGCAATCTCCCCCTTTGTCTGTGCTCAGAATATAGCGGACCCCACGGGCAGGTATTTGCTTCTGCAAGGCACCCTCTGGGACCAGGAGGTTACCTTTGTCTCTTACTACGCGCCTAACCGTTTCCAGCATAAATTGTTTTTGCATCTTTGCAGCATTGTTTCTCGACACTCTAAGGGTCTTCTTCTTGTTATGGGGGATTCGAATGTTACCTTGGATTCCACACTGGATAGGTGCTGCGCACAGGGAGCGACCCCCTCTCATGACTTGGTGCTGGAGGAACGTATGCGCTCTCTTT